ACATATTTTTTGCTTATGTCAGTTGTCCAGTTGGCGACACTCAACAGGCGATGCATTGAAATTGGCATAGCGAAATGAAAATTGCTCTCGGGCAAGTTGCAACTTGCATGCAAAAGTCATTATTATTTACATTATTATCATCAAGCAATTACACAATTTTAAATCTATTATGCAGATATTTGTGTTAGGGTTATTTACTGCAGAGCGCAGTCCTCTAAGCTGCGTATGGAGGATAGTAGAACACACTTGAATTATCTTTAGCTCTTCGGCATATTTATTTAACAGGTTAACAATAAAGTGCGGACCGATGTGCCGCCGTCTCATCAGCATGGCTCAGCACAACAACAACAACTAGCCGCTCACAATGGGAGCGTGTGACGTCACGTCCTTACGTAACCGTAACCCTTTCACAATACAGCAGTACAGTATATCAGTCTACCGTAATACAGGACTCACCTTAGTACATGAGGCCCCAGGGCTCTTCCACACCAAACTCTTGGCTTTGTGTACGGGAGCATTGCTGTTTACAATAAACTGTTGCCATACAGTTGGAAGCACACATTGTCTAAGACAGGGGTTCTCAACCTTTTTGGTGTCAAGAACCCAGAAACTGATACATTTACCTGTATTTGATAAGATGTAGTCTTTTGGAGTCCTCCTGGATCCTGCTCAATGACCCAGACCCAAGGTTGAAAACTGCTGGTCTCAACGTTGATGTAGCATTAAACGTACAATTTGTAATTTCTGCCACTGAAGGGTCTCTCACATCAAAATAATAACAAAATAAAAAGTTTAATGACCTGACCTTAGTCTTAGTAAAGTAGTTTGGGATCATGGGAGTTGTTGTCTTCACGACCCTTGTCGTCATTGCAGTCAGCTTCTCCTGGTTAGGATTCCTTCAGTGTATGGCCATATACATTCATAAGAACAGCTATCAACCAGCTGAAAGGGCCTACTGTATATGAGTATCCCTGCTTCTTTGGAATTGACTTTGATAAAGCTGTTGGACTGAAAAGCTGCTCCTTGAGATATTGAGATTGTCTTATTGAAGTGTTTTGCCGAGGAGCTGGTAGTCGGAATTATTGGGTGGTCCTATCAGGCTGTTTCCACTTCCATCAAACATTTTTTGTTTGTGTGTGCTCCGCGGATATTAAAAATAGCATAAACCTCTGCCATACCTCAAGGCTGAATCACTGCAATCACATATTTATATCCGAGATGCCTAAACCGGACAGGCTGTCTTTTGTTACCATGGAGACCTGAATTCCTGCTCCTGTTCAAGGCTAAGATCTGGCAGGTTTTTGACCATAATTCGGGGTTGTCACCCTCTGGCAGTAATAGTATGGGAATATGTTAGTGTACAAGCACTTGTCTTAGAACAGAGCTTTCACTGCTGCACCAAAGTGCTACTTAAATCCAGGCTAAAATTTTCTGTGATTGTAGGTTCCGTTGGAGACGCCGCCTGTTCATCATCTCAGCCCCCAGCGATGAGGAGTGGGCCTATCAGCAGCAGCTGTACGGCCTGACCAGCCAGGCCTGCAACCTTGGTGAGTCCCTCTAAAAGTGACCTGTGAAAGGTCGGTGAACTCCACCGTCAGGTCAGGATAGGGACTTTAAAGGAATAGTTCACCCAAATGAAAAAGCAATGCCATAGAATGTTATTTGCAGAGCTACTGAGTTCACCGGTGAGACATGACACTACACTCAAACTGCAATAACAGATTTTTTGGCCACTTGGGGCTGTGGAAACAAGCTGTGAACTAATAACCCTAACTGTAATGAGTTTATACTCATATTTACTCATAACTCCTGAGGGAAATATCTGTCTCATTAGCTGCTAATTGTTCCACCAGCTTTTTAGAGCTAGAGAAAACAGCAGCCTGCTACAATTATCAGAGCAAAACACTAAAGTTGCTGGCTGAAAAACCAAAACAATGCCTTAAAATATGCTATGAAGCTCCATAGAGCTGAAGGGAACAGCAGAATTGGGTGATAATTCTCTGTGGGTTTATCACTATGGGCGAACCCACATGTAGATACTAGTTGTTGAGTTGACTGAAGTCATTTTGAAAGACCAGTAGACCGATGAGGCAGATGCAAAGCACTTTTCTTTCTAGATTTTTTTGGGTTAATTCAAATGAAATATGCATGCAATAATTAAAGTAAATCACATGCTAGACCCACAAGCAGGTATTAAAGGGTGCCAGGGTTGCACTAGCCTTGGAACTTTGGACTATCAAAATTCCTTTGATAGGAAGAAAAAAACTTTTGTTCATGAAGGTTCAATGATTCGACGTGCAAAACTTTAATGCAGATCGGACTAAATAAGGTGAGTTTCACATATTAAGCACGTATTTGTGAGAGTTACAGTCCAAAATGCATTTAACTTAATTATAGCGCTACCTGCTGATGGACATGTGTCATTTTTTGTGTCTGAGGTACAAACTCTTTCCTGTACCTTCTCTGTCAATTTCATTTCCATAGCTCTTAGGCTGTAGGCTGCAGTACCACTTTTACCAACAGAAGAAAAATAACAAAATCTGAATGATTCCAGTAGGGTTTCCAGCACCCATTCAGGCTTGGACCCCTACATTTATTGAGGACGTTCTTTACTGGACTAACACAACATGGCTGGGACCAAAGCAGCATATATAGCCTCTCTAAGGTGAAAGTTACGTTTTGGTGTGAGTTGAGTGAACTCTTGCTTTAAACTACCTTTATAGTGCTTTCTGTTTTCCTCTTAGTTTGAGTTCTGTGAGGAATTTCTGCCGCTGTTTTGCGTCCTCTCTGTATGTACTCAGTAAGAAGGGCACCGCTTATGCTGACTACTCTTTCTGTGCCCCAAACAATTTCCTGCTGCAGCAGCCGGGAACAAACAAACAAAAAAGAAACTTCCTTGGAAAGACCTACCTGGAAGAGAAAATGTAAAATGTGTAATGGAGCAACTGTAGGTTGAATCATCTTTGTGTTCATCCAGATTGGCAGAGTGGATGTTCAGCTTGCTTTGAATCATATTTCAATACACATACTCAATTGTAGATGCATACTTTGAGCGATTGCATCTGACTGTGTGTGTTTGTGCGTGTGTGCACAGAGGGATGTGCAGAGGGATCCCAGATGACAGAGCTGGCAGGGGGCTCTGTCTGAAGCTAACAGGCTCTTTTCCTCCCTTTCCTGCCAGTTAGTCAACTTTTCCACAGTTACTTAAATGTTATTACTGTACATCTCAAAAAGAGACATTTATCTAAACTGCGCTAATCTCAACAACCTGCCGTGTCTGACAGATTTATGTAAGATAAATGTAAACTTTAAATAGCCAGCGGTTAACTCCACTTCTCTGCAAAACTAAATAAATGCTGTCATCTGGACTTACTTGAACCTCGTGTTCCAGTCCTGTTTATATGAATTTAAAATTCTTCTGACAGTTCTCCCCAGCTCTTATGAGAGCACTTTGTCATAAGATAGTCAGTAAAATAGATAGACTTTGACATCTGCCATTTGATTTGATGAGGACAGTTTAAGAAGGAACGGCCACACATTCAACTAGATTTTAACTAGATCTTCCAACTTATTCTACTGCTGTCACTCTGAATAAGAATAAATCAGCTAATTGTAACTAATTGCTAAACAATTGTTCATCATCGGTCGAAATAGGACAACTTCTGGGTTGTAAAGTTATAAAAAATACTTAATTAATTATGCAATTAGTGGACCAAAAGCCATCCAAATCACTCGTTTTACACAAACTTCTTGCAGTTAGGTGTGTTCACTGTTTGGATTTATTGTACAGTTTTGAATATAATATGAAATTTCCATTAAATATGTCCCTGAAGCAGGGGTCGTCAGTTTACTCAGTGATAGAAAAAGGTTGGGAACCACTGACCTACCCGCTAAAGCTATTTTTACAACCTTCTTATTAATTGTTTGTTATTGATCTAAAAAGTCCTACAAATGATTTATTAACCTTTAAAATGATTTGTAGCCTCTCTCATAAAATCTGCCTCATTAGAAAGCCATTGGTGACATTAGTGCACTGTTACTCCATATGAGTGAATCCAGAGACTGCAGAAAAAAGCTTTTTTTGCTTATCAGCAGGCCAAGACCTGGGTCTGCGAGAACTTTTTTCCCCTTGTGTGTTGCTCTTGGCTGGGTTGGCACCCAGGGGCTGTTCCCTCCCTCCCTGCCCCAGACAAAGGCCCGTCCTGCTGACTGGGCTGAAGGCCTGAGAGGTTTGATCCTGGTATTCAGCACTTGGCTCTCACCAAGTAAAGCCTGCGTTCTGCTGTGTTTAATGTGGGCTTTCTCGCTTCAGAGGAACCACCACGTTCTCCTCCCCTTACCTAGAAACCAGTGCTCAGGATGGTTCCAATAATAAACAACCACAGTGAAATCAGCTTGGATAAGCAGAAGGAGTGAGGGATAAAAAACATTTGGTCAGCCTATTACAGGCTCGACGTTTAAAGTCTGACTTTTACTGTAAGGTATTTGCCTCTCTCTGATGTGTGTTCTCACTGTGGTTGTCGTTGTCATGGTGACGCAGGTCTGAGGCACATTGCCATTCTGAAGTTGGTCGGCACAGAGCCACCGGATATGGGCGGAGTCTTGGAGCTCTATCCTATAAATGGTAAGAACTTTCTCATATAAAATAATGAATGGGACCGTGGGTCAGGCATGTCTGTAGCAAACACTAACACACACACACACACACACACACACACATACATACACACAGAGTACAAGGTGGATGGTCGGTTGGATGAATTGGACAACAATGGGCCTCAGGACTTGTCACGGTATCTCAGTGCATTCACAAATGCATCAATAAAAATTGCACCTGTGTTCGTTCGTCCATGACACACGGCCTGCCCAATACCATAACCCACCGCACGGCATGCCCACTCGATCCAAAACGTTGACATCAGGCAAAACCGCTCACCCCACAGACATACAGGCTGCTCCGCCATCTGCCGTTACAGTGAAAACGGGATTTCATCTGTGAAGGAGAAACACCTCTCAAAGGCTGCCAGACGCCATCGGAATGTGAGCAGTTTTTGGCCCACTCAAGGTTGGTTACGGACACTAAGGCAAGTGGGGCACAGCCCGCGCCGCGCGCCCTGTTGGAGGTGGCATATTATCTCGCGGTCAGAAAGAGAAGTGGCTCACTAACACAGATTTTGACAGGATTTGGGGTGAAAAAAAATTGTGACAGAAATAGGCCTTTTGTGCTATCATAGAGGGAAGTCTTAAGATCTTTGGGGAGGTTCAGCTATGATGAATGCGGGGCAAAAACAAAAGGTGTTGCGGTTTATATTTGTGTTCAGGTGGTAAATAGAGGGGTGGGCCGTGTCGTG